ACTCATCAGCTTTTAAGTTCCTCACACATTCATCTGCTTGTTCCTACCTAATGCTACAGTTCATCAGCCATTTGTTGTGCCGATTAAATTGTTAAAAATAGTTAAAATAGTTATTTTAAAATACATTTCCTACAGTTATTTCATGTCAGTGTGATCCCCACCAACCAGTTATAATCCTAAAATTTCTCAAGGAATAGACAAGCAGATTAGTGGCCCAACAAAAATAATCAGATGGAATCTCTCATCATAAAGGCAAAAAGGTGATGTGCTGGTAACAACACATTTTCTGCACTGAGGTAGCATTTGAAGGATCAGGTCTTTGCTTTAATATTTGTTGTAAAGCTCCAGTGATGAAACAGAGGCATTTTCACCATCATGCTGAGTGCAAAGGTCGAACAAAACCAGGTGATATGGGGCAGAAAGCTTAAACAGCATTTGTAAATGAATATGTAGTCCAAGTTAAAAGTGAGAAACAGCAGTTCTAGACCCACCCAGGTGATTTTAAGCCAGTTCAACACAGTAGATGCACTGGTTCAAACTGCTTTTATACAGAATGTGCAGAACTTGGGAAGAAACACCTGAAAGTCACAGGAAACCAGAAGGAAAGATCTCAAACAATCTTCACTTAGAAGAATATCCATATCTCATTTCCCACATATATGTAGTGGGGAAATTGGCAAGAAAAGTGTCAGCATAAGAAATGGGGCATTTCATGATAGAACTCTGAAGCTCCAGGTAACATTAAAGCAACTGGGCTTTATCCTGTTGTATTTCAAGAAAGAGCTTCCAAAAATCAATAAGCTAAGTAGGAACACATAAGACCTTCTGATTCAATCCCAAGCAAGAGAATATCTGCAAGGCTGTGAGGTCAGATCTTGCCTAACTCTGACAGAAAACCAGAAGGACAAAAGGGAAATGGCCACCTTTAGATATGTCACCTGATCTGCCAGCGAGCTGCAAGACAAGACAGTTTCATAGAAAACTCAAACTGTTGAATAAAAATCTGCTCAAGAGTTACTACAGTGTTCACTCTGGTTGCAGCCAGGCTCGATTTGTCAGGAACAACAGAGGCTCCACATCCATGTGTGCAGGGCAAGGGAAAACCTGTCTTGTATATGTACAGCAATATATATCACTTTGATAGCAATCAAGTTTCAAACTACTCTGTATTTAAACCAGAAAATTCATAGCTCTAATACTATGATAGGGAAGCCTTGATTCTCTGCTTATCACTAGTGAAGCAAATTTCACTACAATCCATATCTCAGGCAGGAGATTAGATCAGTTTAAGTGGAACAGGACTGCTGTCATCAGACTAACTCACTGTCACCAGCATTGAACGTTCCCACTAACAGAAGCTGTTTGGTTTCTTTCAGCAGCAACTAATACACAAGGTCTCCAGGATCTTAGTGCAGACCGTGTGCTCTCAGTGCTGCTTTCACAAGTAATTTCCAGAACTTAAAGCAGGTAGTCCTTAGGGAAACACTCAACACAAGTTCAACTCTCACAGATCTGGAAACACTTGTAAAAGTTATTCCCTCCACCAGGTACTGACTGAATTCTCAAATACAATACAATGCAATCAGTTAAAATTCACAAATGTGGGAAACGTGAAGTTCACGCATAGAAACAGTTCAATAAATTCCAGAGGTTACACAGGACTTTCAAATGGCAAAATTCATCAGCCTGACCTAAGCAGCTAGCTCCTTATTCCAAAACAGGATCAATTATTTCTTTTAACAGATGTTGCTCTCCTTGTGCCAAGATCAACAGCTTCTCTGCAGCTTCCCCATCAATGTGCAATCACACCACTTCTCTGTCTTCATAGTCTGAATGTTTTAAGTGCCCACAACCTGAATTTTTCTGTGTTTGTGCACAAGTTCATGCTCATTTAACTAATCAACTGGAAAACGTATCTTCACCTATATTGCAGAACATAGGCAGGTCAACCAAGGAAAACAGCTGCATCATTCTTACCTGATTGGTCATATGGATACCTAGCACTGTCCTGTCTTCCCAAGAAAGGCCTAGTGGCCTGAGATGCCTGCAGACTAGTCTGATAGAGGGATTCCAGTTCTGAGAGCTCCTGTTCTGTGTCTTGATTCCACTGTGGATGCAGATGTACTGGGATCCTGCTCAAGTCACCTCCAACTGCTCTCTGATCAGAAAGGGTTGGACTCCTCCCAGGTACAGGAAGCCATTCAGTATTCTTATTAGCCTTCTGAGAACTGTAATACCTAGTAACATTATCCACCCAACGGTCCACAGGCATAGAGGCAGCCATGCTACCAGTAGCTCCATCATCCACCTGTTTCATTCCTCCATCATGACAGTGCCTTTCCAGGTAGGGTGCAGGGTCTCCTATAGTTTGTCCACCTCTTCTACACAGCTCTTCACTGTAAGAACAAATACTCTTAGAAGCAACATGCTGGGCACTAAAACCCTCCAAAGAAACTACCCCATCCCTAATATCCACAGTTGAGTGTGATTTTTCAGAAGACTGGTTTTTGTAGTCTTGGTTTTGATGGATTAGCTGTCTGTAACCAGAAGATGAAGGGTTGATGAAAGATTTTTGTGTTAACTTTGGAGACTTCTCATCCTGACACACTGCAGCAATCCAGCCTTTTTCATGAGTACCTTTTCTCTGGGAGACTGCATGCATTTTCTGAAACTGCTCTGCCAAGGAGCGAACATGTCCCTTTGTACTAAAGGCCTCAGATTTGCAACTTTCTGCTGTGCCATATTCATCCTGTGAGGGTAATAAAATCTCATGGCCGTCTGCTCTGGAGTACTTATTTGTTTTCTGCAAAGGATCCAAGGAGCACTGCTGTGTAGGGGATGAAGTTGCAGGGGTCATTGCATGATAGGCCCCTAAATGATCAATACTGGGCCACACTGGAGAGCTTGTAAGTTTGGAACAAGGACTGTGCTGGCTGTCCTTTTCAGGAGATGCTGCTTGTGGTGGATGTGGACAGGGAAACAGCGTAGGCAAAGACCCAGAGTTTACTGTCTTAGCCTTGGATTTGTACTGAGGTGTGAGAATAGGTGTTATGTTGTGAACCTCTTCTGACTTGCTGCTACTGCAGCATTCCCTATAGTCTTTTGGCCCTGTGGCTGTGGTGTCAGCAAATTCCACTCTATGGTGGGCATCACTCCCAGTTCTTGCAGACCTATCTGCCAACCCTTGCCTGCAGGGAAAAGAGGTAACTTGGTCATGAAAATCAGCAGAAGCAGACTGGAAGTTTGGAGCGATCTTGTTGGATGGATTGCTTTCAGAATGGGGCAAGGAGGAAGACTCTGGATATAATGATGAGTGCAATTCATGGCAGGAAGCAGGTGGGTGGAATAAAGAACTGGACCCAAATTCCACTTCTTTGTTGGGTTCCAGTGGTACCTCCTGGCTCAGCAGTACTTGGAGCGGGCCAGTCTGTTCACTAAAACACACAGAAGGGTAAATGATTAGCAGTAGTCATTGCTTATGTTTACCCCTAGGGTACAAAACTTGTACCAGGTGACATACACCTCAACACATTTTTTTCTAACTGCATTTTGATGAAGACTTAGCATTAGTTCAATAGATATGTACAAGTCAGTCCTTTGCTTCTAACCCTGATTTCCTACTATAGCTTCTGTGCTGAAACAATTTCATATTTTTAAGAGGATTTTGCTACAGTTAGTCTGTATATAAAGTGTTCTTGTACAGCACCCTACGCACTTTAACCAGCAGACTGAGCACATGGGTAGGGATAACAGTACAAAGAGTAAAAATAACATTTATATAAAACAAAACAACTGTTACCAACATTATAAACTTAGATATTTTTGAAAATACTTTGGACATATTCATGATCTGAATATGAACTGACAATACTTCCATATGGTTCCCTCTTTTTGGGCAACTTCATGAAGCATGACTTAACAAATGGAAAGAACAGGCTGAAGTTTCTCTCATATCATCTTGGACAAATATCTCAAAGATCAGAACACAAACACATTAAATAAAGTTCAAGCTGAATATAACACTATTATTTTGTAAGACTTTATAAAAAGTAATTTGCATTCTTTTATATACCATTTCAAGGCAATATCATCTTTGGGCTATATCTTTGGCATTTTTGTGCATTTATCATTTTAATATGGCAACAGAAAAATCCAATACCAAGTCCATGTGCCTGTGAGAAACTGACAGGCTCCAAACAGAAATTAAGGAAAATGTAACATCACTGCTTTGTTTCCTCTCTGAGATGCATAGAATGAAAGTTATCATGAAGACCTAGTTGATAGACCTTGTCTGTGAGTAACTGTGAAATTTGCACTGTCTACAACTTTATTTACACCAAAGCAAGAGCACAGAACTCTGGCTATGAATAGATCCTTTTCATTTGCTGCAATATTAACATGTGGTTGGGTATAAGTTTTTTGCAAAAGTTATGTTCTTTCACAGAGCAGCAGTGAGCAAGTTCAGCATTAACAAAATTAGTTTAGCAAGTTCCTTTCTTTCATTTTCTCAGAATCTTCCAAAATGCATAACTTGAGGCTCAGCATTTCTCCTGTAAAATAGGATATAATGGACCCCTGACTGACAAAAAGATCAGCCCTCATTACATATAATTCAGCTACTCCAGGAAAAGAAAAGAACATTATAAACTATAGCCCGGCAGGTGTGCAAATTAACTGAGTTTTACTATATAGCTGTATGTGACATTTTAAAAAAAGGAAAAGAAAATGGATTCTCCTCTGAGATTTCCTCTAGGCTTCTGATAAAATGACATGTAAGAAAGGGGAGAGGGAAGAAAACTAACAGTTCAAGAAACAGCCTAGAAATTGGATAGGGATGGTCTAGTGCTAGGAGGGAATGGCATGGGAAGAAAGGAGGACTAAGCTGCATGCTAAAGAGGGTAGGAAGAAAGGACCAGCTACAGAAGGGAGTTAATTATGCTGTAGTTAAAGTCACTATGGAAGAATGAATCATGAAGAGACACTGAAGAGGCTGCTAAGCCAGGCTACAGTATGCTGGGAAGCACAGAAAGAAAATTAAGAATGAGAACATCAGGGAGAGTAGAGGCAAGGTGACAGGACCAGGATCTGGATCCAAGAGTTGTGCCAGCGCACCACTAGAGAAGCAGACTAGGAATACAAGATTGGTGTACCTGACACTTTTCAAACTACAGACCACTAAAACACAGTTGTTGCTGTTCCAAACAAACGTAATTACAGCAAAGTTTTTACTGTAGTACACGCTTTTACTGACTGACTGCTTACAAAGAGCTGTGAGATTCATCCTAGCATACCTTGCCCTTTTAGCCACTTTACTGTGTACTGTATTCTTTCCCTTTGTACATAAAACCTCAATGCTGCCAGGCACTTACTGCTACTATTCTCTGCCACAGAACACATTTTGAACACGTGCACATTGAACCACTCCATAAAGGCTGGGGGGAGGGAAGGGATCGTTGACCATCCTATAACAGGACTCAAACTAAAGAAGAAATGAATAACACTGCAGGACTTGGACTAGCCAGGGGAATACACGTAGTTGGCTATTTCTTTCCAGACTGCACTGCTCATAGACGCAGCTCAGATCTGGTTCCAGGGGATACACTTGAACTACCTTGTAGACTGGGCCACGGTGCCACCCTGTGGTGGGTGGCAGGCGGGCGGCGGCAGCGGCTGCGGTGGCTGTTGGTGCTGCATGCGATCCTGGAGGCTCCGGGCTTTTCGGATACTGATCTGCAGCTTCTTATCGACTAGGGCTCTGCTGTGAGTGCTAGCGCTGGCATCATGCATGGCAAGTCTTAGTTTAGCTAAAATGCAAAAGAAAACATAGCAGAAAACAAACAGAAAAAAGGAATAAAATTGAAAAAGAAAAAAAAAAAAGAAAGAAAAAAGATGCAGCAAGAACATAAAACATGGACCATGCAAATACTGCCGCAAAAGAGTTCACAGGGATGCCATTGTTTCCACTAATGCACATTCAGCTTAGCCAGGTGCCCAAACATGTTAATCAAAACTAAACCAAAATGAAGTTAAAAAAAAAATATCCGTGTTTTAGCCCAACTTCTAACCCCTTCTTACAGGCTCTTTCTAACCCTACTACTCTAATGCTTTGTTCTGTCATTTACTCTTCTCCCGTATTCTCCATAGCTGGGACTGCTTTTATCTGCAGGAATTCCCAGCTGGGATTTGAGATTCAGCATGTACCTTGCTGGAATGGAAGCTAATGGAGCTCTCACAGCAGCTGTGTGCTGTTCCCCTTATTCTGCAGTCCATGAGAGCCAATTTCTAAATGCAAATGCACAGGAGCTACCCGCTCTGTCTGCAGCCATTCTATACAGACAGAGGGGAGCATGGGGTGAAGACAGCCAGCCAGTCATAATGGAAAAAGACCAAAAATAAAATGAAATCACATAGCACACATTCTCAAAGGTCACAATGCATTTAAGCACTTCAATGTCCTAATGCTTTTTTCTTCATCAAAGTCAGGTACAGCACAGCTCATTTCTCTTAATCCAGAGGACTCAAGAGTGGGTTACCATTTTCTTCCTATGCTACACCCTCCATGGGAAACAGGGGAGCTTAATGCCCCTGGTAATTTGGCTCGAAGATAGGGAAAAATTGTTAAATTGTGTCAGGGAGTGTCACCTACTGGGGTGCTTGCTGAAACGCACCGTTTAGCACCAAAAAGGGCACATCAGCAGCCCAGTGCTGTTACTGCCACAGTGCTGGAGAAAACCACAAAAATGGATGCAAACATGAAAAAAAATCAAGGATGAACAGGACTAGAACCCCCAGAAAGGGAATGCTTGTATAAAGGGAAGATTCTATCTCCTTACACATTCCTAAAGACCCGCTGGATCCCCATATTACTATCTGCCCATTCAATGTGAATCCATGTTTCAGACCTTTTTCTAGAATATTAGTAAATTGTCAAAAGCGCAAGAGCTCAGGCGGTTAGAGTTACTTACATATAGCTTCGTTACAGAGCACCAAAGCTGCAGCACAATCCCCCTTCTGCTCCTGATTCAGCGACTCTTCAAAGATTGAGTCTGCCTCCTGCATCGACTTCTCAAAGCCATCACTCCTCCCTGCAACGGGCAGCACCCTTCATTTTGGTTTCATTCATCGCAGAACCCTCACTTACCCTCATCCCATTCGTGACTGCCAAATTCCTCCACAGTCAGGCAGAGGCTGCACGTATGCCAGACTGCAGCACCTAGCCTCCCCTAGAGCAGAAGTACAACTTGAGCACCCTGATATGCTTGACGTCCACACAGCAAAACGATGTGAACTAGATTTTGTTTTTCACTCAAATTTTGTTTACTTGAGGGAATTTCATTGGCTTATTGCATTATTTTCAAGTCTAAATTATATACAAAAGATGGTATATAAATATATCACAGAGTCAGTTCAAATGAATTCTGTTGAGTGGGAATTATTCTCAATTTAGAATTAAAACTAAACCAAAATATATCAGTAAAATAAATATAGGAGGTCAGGGCTCTCCTTTAATGTTAAGTCCCCCATTGAAAATCATCTGTCTCTTCTCCAGATATCAAATTACTTGCATATAAAATGGGAACAAACTGAAACTACTGAGATGTCTAGGGAACAAAATTCAGCCTCAAGTGCGAGTGTAAACTCCTGCACAAAATACTTCTACAAATGTCTTCAGTGCATACACTCAATTGCTGAAAGAGACATATGGAATATGAAAACTCAACAGACTTGCAGCTTTAGGAAGAAAATCACAGGTGTAAAAAGCTGAGAAGAAAGGGACAATTGTCAAATTTCTGGAACAATTTAGAAAACAGTGTCGGAGAAAGGGACGATAAATCAACCTTGTACACAAATGAGAAAGATGGAACACTGTGTCCTGGCATGAAAACATCCAAGTCTGAGAGGTGGAAATGCCAAACCTGGTGTCATCTATTAAGCATTACACAAGTTACATACTAAAATGTACACACTCAAATGAGGCAGGGGGAAACAAAATACCGGAAAGGTGTTTTTTTTTTTTTTTTGTTGAGGAGTGGGGGATTTTTAATGGGAATTTTTAATCTGTCATTGTGATGGAGAACATGAGTATCTTCATCAACCAACAATAAATCATGTTTTCTCAACTTGCATAACACATGCTATGGCCTGGCCTGCCATCATGCACGGATGCAAACAAAAACTTTCTTATATCATGAACCCCAAAGAACTCACACGAAAAGCCAGTACTGCAGAAAGAAGTGAGAGTTTGGTAGAGGAGTGAGTTAATCAAGCAGCACATTCAGTTTCAAAATAAAGGCTACTGAGGCTTGTAATCAAGGCCAGTACAGTACAGTTAGCTTTCTTTGCATGAACTCAGTGGTTTACTTGAGGGCGAAATGAGTCACAAGTTGTGCGCACAAGCCAGCCTTCCAGGCAGTCAAGCAGTCTGCTAATGTTAAGCTATTACATCTCTGACTAGGGTGGGGAAAGGCTTAAAAGAAATAAACAAAAACTTTCCCAGATCTCACTTTAATGTCTGGAAATTCCTCAAACATTCTACTGAAGTCTTTTTTTGATTAAGCATTATCCTGGTTTCTTTTTAAACAGGGAAAAGCTAAGCATTTTTTAATGCCACCAAGAGATGGAAGAGGGGTAACGTGCTGGAGAATATGCCATTTTCTTTTGGGCAGGAGGAGCAGAGGAGACAATGTCCCTGAGCTCAACAACACAGATTTACCTTTCAATTTTTAAATCATTAGCATTTATGTTATGAAAGTAAACACTAATACCAATTAAGAAAGATATCCACCTACTCTGGCACATCACATTTTTCACCTGGTTACTGGCAGGTCACAACAGGACTGTTAAGGGTAACCAAGTGGCTCACTGATGGTCAGCAAAAACTATAGAAGTATTCCCACAGAGATTGTATTTTTCAGCTGCCATTGGCACAATGACATTTTGGCTGCTGAGCAGCTGGTGTGGCTGTAGGCTGCAGAGCACTGGTTGTATTGTTCCCATAGCTGGAACTGCTGTGAGGTGCCCCTCTCTTTCCTCTCTGGTCCGCAGCAGCACCTCAGGTCTTACCTCTAACAGGTTTGAGCAAACAGCGTGGAAATGGCAGAAGGCCTCTGGCAGCGCAGGAAGCCACAGTGGGTTTGCCCCAGTCATGCATGGATCTGTGGGAGCAGAGCCTAGGCACTCACTACACCATAAGCCCCTTCTTAAATGCTCTACCAGGCTCCAGGCTTCATTCTTGACTGGGTCCATGCACTTCATCCCACCTTCTCTACAACTCCCCTTACTGGCTGATAGGGATTTAGGGCTAGAACGAAGCCATGACATGTGAATCCTGTCACCAAGTTCCCTCTGCTACGGCTCTATCCTTCCAGTTAAATCTCTTCTGCTGCCATCCCCTGCCAAAACATGAGGAGTCATGGAGAAGACAGTAAAACTTCATATTTGCCTTCTAATTTTTTTTTTCCTCCTCAATTCTTTTTCCTTAGAGAAAGATATGTAAACTAAACCTAGCTCAGATTTTCTATTAGATCCAGCTTAAGCCTATCACAGTAGTTGTTCCCAAGCCTGTGCTGTGGTTGTATAGTTGGGCATGGAGAAAGGGTAGAAAGAACAAGGGCAGGAACAAGCAAAATTGCTTTGGGACAGCGATACTACCAGAAACAATCAGAAATAAAACAATGGCCTAAATGAACAAGCTATGCTGCAGGGAGACCTGGGGTGTCTGAAAGGTCCAAACAGCCCTGGTCATTCCAGGATGTTGGTTGAAGCCTTATAGCTAAATCTAGGCATCAATACCAGCACTGCTGCATACCACCACGAAAATGGAAAGGCACAAATTTATTTTAAAAAAAATATCTCTGCATTACTTAGTTGTCTCATTTTGAGGGAATTTGGTCAAAATACAAAACAGTTTCTTTGCGTCGCAGGTTTGAAATTGATGGTCTTCCACTAACTGAACATATAAAATTGTAATGGAGGGGAAGAGAAACAGAGACAGACTTACAATGGGAAATTAAGATCAAAGGGTCAAAAAAGCTTCAGCGCTACAATCTTGCAAAATACACTGCATCCAAAAAGTTACCCTGATTCTGCAGTTCATCGAGATCCATGAACCTGCTGGGGCGGGGATTAAAGCCCATTGCTGCCTCCATTTCCTTCTCTCTTTTTCTGCGTAGTTCTTGTTCACGTGCTCGCCTTGCCACCTCTTCTTGCAGTTCATCCAGTTCACTCTTTAAAGGGACAAACATCTCCCCACCTTCAAAGAAAACCAACCAAACAAAAAAACACCAAACCACAAACTTTTTTGATTGCATAATCTCCTAAAGTATCAAGACAAAGAAATATTAATGGAGAATATAATTAATACTAGAAGGTAAGACTGACCAAGCAAGGACCACAATTTTGGATCACAAATTCTGCTTTAAACTTTATTTTTAAAACCCTGCCCAAGCTATTTGTTTCCAACTGCCTTCTGTTAGTGACTGCCAGAAATGCTGCAGTATTGCTTCAAGCTCCTCTGCAGCAGAGCCCATCCCTGGATTCACTGACCCAAGAAACAGCAAACGGAACAGAGAGAATCATTGTAAAGAGATAGCTCTAAGCTCATGCTGAAATTGAGGCTTCTTACTGTGCGTATAATTTGCAAATAATGCTACAACAAATGAGCCAGATATTAGTTTTAGTAAGCAAAACAGATTCCAACTGAGATACTTTTCATCTAACTGCATAAGCAGATGAAAATGGGAGGAAAATAAAGTATATCAACATCCTAATCTCAACACAGCAGAAATCAATCATTATTCTCACTTCACCTATAATCTGTATTCAAAAAGTATTTCCCCTCCTCCCTCTCCCTTCCCCAGACATCCTCTGGAATAAAATATTTGCTCAGAATAATACTTAATCAGAATGCATATCTGCAGAAAAGTTCAGTCTTAGCCCAAACACCCGGTAAATATCCGCTTTTATTTCTGACAATTTTGATTTTTTGTATACCATTAGAAGCTTGTTTTCAGGACCCATCAATCCTATAAAGTTATTAGGAGTTATGCTTGGAAAAGCATTTTTCCACTGACAGCAGAGTACTGAGTTATGAAAAGAACAGAAAAAGAAAAAAAAAAAAAGGCTTTACTTTATCAGTTAAATCAATACTTAAAAGTCTACTCAAATCGTCAATACTCAAAAAAGATGGCCAAGCAACATGATCAAAAGAATAAAAAAGTTTTTGCAGCCTCCTTTAGTAAATATTTTAAGTCCTATCTTGTAAAACCATGTCACATGTCCCAACATTTCTCTTCCCTTTCCTTAAAATTTCTTTGTGAAGATAAATATCCAGAAAGCAAAGAACTCCAATATAATTTACCTTGCAAAACGACTGCTGCTGAGGAAGCATATCTTACCGTTTCCAATGGTGTGGGGGCTGTTTGCCCAAGTCCCAGCTGATGAAGTAGACTCCACTTCCAAGATGCTGCTACTGTGAGACTTTGGGATGTTACGCCAGGCAGGAACCAATCCACCTGCTCGCTTCATGTGAGCGTCCCTCCGAGAAGACAGCAATTATCATTCACCCTTTTGCTAATGTCTCCAAGAGGAATTATATCTACCTTTTATTTTAATCATCACAAATATTTACTTGCATTTTAATTACATTTAAAATAAAGTTTATTGTAAGAAAGTCTTCAGGGAAACAGAAAGTTAACAAGGAGGGACACAATAATTCTGTAATCCTCTGCAAGACTACACAATGTATATTAAACCCATGTCCTGACAGTTATTTTCAGCTGTAAGAATCTATTGAGAATCTACTATTTTGGCCACAAACAGTCTCCGTTCATGACTGCATGAAGCTTCCTAAGCCAAGGAAAGAAATGCATTGTACTGCCTATTTATTTCTGCCTACAAATACTGCAAACATCTTGCAAGACTTCAACAAACCTCTCAGACTGAAAAAGTGAAAGATTTCTATGAAAGACCATTGATCTCTCATTTTGTACAAGGCTTCTCTCAGGGTTTAACTGAAACAAAAAGGTCTACGAGCTATTCAAAGAACCCTCGTGAAGTTCACTATTTTAGTTTTTAGTCTGTGATCTATTTCAGATGCATCATTTCAGTCAACATTTCTCATTCAACTGAACCTCATTTTTCTTTTCCTTTTCACTAGCAGTAAGACATCAAAGAAAAAGAATCAAACCCACTCAGATTCCTATTTCCCTTCAATCTCTCCCCTGCTCAGATAAACCTGTATGACAAGCTAGGAGCACCACTTCGACATCTCTAAAAATGAAATTTTTTGAAATCTACCTGTGGGTGCTTGAGCTTTCAGACAAAGCCATGTCCAGACTAACTGGGCTGTTGCTGTTGCGTTCACTGCTCTCATAGCCAGACTCCATTCTCTGTATCAGATGAGGATGTTGATCCATCATATGATGCTGGGTGCCCCGGCCTAGCACACCACGCTTGTATCTGACATTTGACTGGCTTGATCTTGTTTCTTGAACAGGGTGTTCCTTCACCTCATTCTCAATAAGCTCTTTTCCTGTCGAGACAAAGCAATATAGCTTGGTAGAATCCAAGCTTCAGTAGCAGCAAATCATCTACGTGTATATGATAGCTTCTCAGCCATGCTGAAATCAGAAGCACTGCCTTAAATTCAGTGTGAAATTAGCACTATTAAGCAGAAAAAAAACCCCCAACATACACCTTTACAGTACTTCTAGTAATTATCAAGCAATAATCTATTCAATAATTTTTTAATCTCTTCCCTTTAGCATAACTTACCTGGATGGGAATGTGGCTAACAGTCAAGTCTGGAAAGAAAATCCCTTCCTCCTCATACCAATCTCTATTTGCACAAGACCACTTTACAGTATACCCAACTGCACTTCCAGTTTATATTTGTTACTGTACTCTGTTAAATCCACCTCAGACATTGCACTTTTTACATTGTTTATTTAGCCATTTATGAATTGATCAGGCCTATACAACATTAGCTCATAGAGAATGAGAAAACTTTTTTTTTTCCTTTAATTCTTCCTTACTGATTTCACTATATCTTCCCACTTGCCTCTTGCTTGCTCCCCTTGCATTTTTGCCTGGGGCTGTGTTCTCTCTTCACCTTCCCTACAGATATTTTTTTATGCTTCCCAATTCTCTTCAACATTTAGCTCCTTCTAGTCAATATCATCTGTCCCTCCTCCTCCTCAGGTCCCCAAATTTCTGCAACAGCATTATCACTAAGCACAATTCTAGTGCCAGTCACACAAACATCCTCCTCATCCATACACTGTCCTTCAAGCACTCTGAGACAGGAGTGCAGCAGCTCCAGTAGCATAACAGCACAGAAACCAGGAAACATCTCTCCACAACCTTCACAGTTTCAGTACCCTCCTCTTGACAGGAGCAAAATAACTGTTATATTCATCTGCAGACTGGGGAAAGGTAAGAGGGGGCTGGGACAGAGGCAACAAAAGATACCCTAAATTGTTTCAAAACAGATTTTACTACCTTCAAAACCAGCAAAACAAAAGACAAAGTCTCTACATACAAGTTGCGTAGCTGTGACAATGCAAAATGGTCCTAGAAAAATCATCACTAGGTGCCAGGCTCTTATCCTCAAAACAGAAACTCTACATTGACATGCAAGGTACTCACCACACCATAGTCTAAACTACCATGTAAAACTACTACAACAAGACAGAGAAGAAGAAACAGGCCATTCCAAGGAATGAAATCCCAGATACTCAGCAGTCCAGCCCTGTGTCTACTTCAGCAGTGCAGATGGTAATGATTCCCTTACTTCTTCCTTATATATGAAATTTAGCACATCAAAAAGTAGTATCATGCATGCAACATGAATATCCACACAGAAACTAGCCTTCAAAGTCACAACTCACCACTGACCTCAATGCTGTGTTCAAAATTTCACTTTCCTACTTTAAACAAAACCAGAGAGGGGAGTATTATAAATTCCACGCATCCTGAAATAAATCCTTCTTCTCAAACTCTTACCTGCTTCTTCAGAGAAGGGGCTAAGCTGAGTGTAGCCACAATGTTTCCTCTTGTCTTTACTGAAGATGCTGTCTATATTCAGAGACTCTCTTTTAGGCCTCCAGGTTGGCCGGTACCTGCTGGATGAACTGGACTTAGACTCACTACTGGTACTCTCCACTTCCCAGTCTCGAGAGTGTGCAGACAGGCTTTTGGAGGGTCGTGTTTCTGCCTGATCCACACTACTCCCTCCACGAGGGGCATTCTGGATGGTTTGAGAAGACTGCTGTGGTCTGCTGTGGATCATATTGCTCACTGTCTCTTTAAATTCCCTCAGCCTGCTGGTGCTGCTGGATGGTTTAGGGGCAGTTCTGGGGGCTTGTTTCTCCTTCAAGGTTTCTCCTACAGTTTATAGAGACAGCAAAAGACATAAAAATAACTTCAGAATAACTTCAGATTAAAATAGTAGCCCTACTTGCACCACCTTCTGACTTTGAAAAGTAAAAAAAACAACTCTCCCTCAACAAAATTAAAAAAAAAAACCCAAACAAACAAAAAACCACACTAATTCCCAAACAACATCCCCAAAAAAAACAACAACAAAAGGCAAAGACAAAATACAAAGACCCAAGAATCAAGGAGGGAAATGCAGGTACACACCAAGGATCTTTAAAACCTACAGAAAGAGATACTGATGTTTGAAACAAAAGTAACATCTCTTGCCTTCACTGTGGTATCCTGATGGCTGGGCCTCATCTCCTTTTCGCCGAGACCGGCTAGAACTCCTCTTGCGGTCTGCCAGTGAGCCCTTTTTGGAAATATGCCTCTGATTGCACTCGCTGTCAGTCAGGTGCCCTGGAAGGACAGAAGAACACAGTAGAGATGACAAGAGCTTTCATACTGAGTGTTCTGCCTGCTAAGTGCAGCAGGGCTCTCCTGCTCCTTAGGAGCTGCAAACGCTCCAATGCTAACTAGCAGGTTTGCTCAAGTTTTTGTATCCAAAACTTTTTGGTTTTGTCTTGAGAGGGTATTCTGGTTTTAAGGTCAAAAAAGAATACAGCCACTCAAAGAACTCTGGTTAATGGGAGCCCATCCATGGGGAGATGGAAAAGTTGACATTGCCTTGTCCTCTAATAGTCTAAGGACCCTGCTTTCTTGCTCTCTAAATACTTTTTCAGTTTTAACAGCCACAAACACAAAACTCTTGAGCTGTCATTAGTCTGTTGAGTGAAGACTCAAACACAAGAAGGAATTACCATGTCATACTAAATTACTGGGCATTATCAGCTGCTCGGCACTAACTGTGCATCTGCACTCTGTTTGCCTGTAGGAAACACTAAGTAATCTGAGTTAGTCAACAGTGAAGAAGCCTCAGCTGGCTCTCAAGGGCTTAGCCAGCTAATTTACATCTGCCACAAGCTAAAAGCATAGACACAAACCTTCAGCATTGATCACCTGACACATGACAATGTTCCTTTACTACAGCTCAGTGTCTGAGTGTTAATACCTTCGCTTGCACATAGTTTACTCCCCATTTCCCCTCATCAAATGTGAATTAAGAGTATTTGACACTGCAAGTGTATTGCCTTTTCTTAATTGTATTGTTCTCACACATTCACAGTCCTAAACCTGCAAGCACAAACACACATAAGGCTTTACTGACATGAGTAGTCCCAAGCAGAGATGCAGGGCAAGAAGGGAATTTATGAATAAGCTACAAAGATTTTTCTCTAGCCTTTATATCACTAACTTTGACCTTGCACAGAACGATAAGAAAGAAAAATCCTGACTACCCAGTAGTGGATTAGCAGCCCCCATACTACATAGCTGGCTATTCTGCACCTTGCCTCTGCTCTAAAAATGAACATAAAAATCAACATTTAAAGCCAAATTTTTACACATAAAATTGTACCCTCAACAGCTGAAAAAATAATTTGCTCCAACTACAATTGCTACAAGATACTACAATAAACGAGTGGGAAGGAATCCAAACAACAAAAACCAAACTACACAAGACTTACACTTCTATTCATTTGCAAAATCAAGAGTGATTTTGAAGCCAAATTCTTTAGAAATAAGCAGATTATAGAAAAGAAAAGAAATTGAGGAAGCAAAAGAGAAATGCTGGCAGTGAAGATAGAACATGGGCAACATTTAGGTGTCTGAGCATGAGTCAGTGCTTCGGGAGAATTCTTCCCCCATCCCTGCCCCCTTTCATGGTGTGGACTGTCATACATCTTTTAGGGACAGAAAGAACAGTGAGGTCTTATACCTTGTAGTGACTCCCCTCAACCTAAAAGAGGCCTATGTTTCACTTCAGAGTTTACAACTTCTCTAGCTCAACACTTCCATCCCCTGAAGTTCCTTCAACCCAATACAGAGTGATTCAAGTACTGTAACAAACTATTTAAAGACACTTAGTGCCACTGGAGCTAGCTTAGGGTCTGTGTAGACTAATTAGAGCCCAACCTGGCCTTGTAAAGTAAAGGCTGCTAGCTTTGCACAAATATTTTCTCCTCCTTTCATAAACTGCAAATTGTCACTGAACCTTTAATCGCCATGGAGGACACGACAAAAATCAAAAGTCTGCAGGACACAGGCTTTGTTGTCTGTACTTGGATTCTCTGGAACACAGACTGAATCTAATATAAAACAAATACAGTAACTACATGTCCAAGAATATCAGCTAACGATTTACAATGTGTTTTTTTTTTTAATTCAATAGAAAAACAAGACAAGATTTCTGTCTGAGTGCCCAACCATGTGCTTAAAAGGTGCTCCTTGCTAAATGTATCACTTAAATACCTCACACTCCAGGGGTGGGATGGCTTCATTAGCAAACAGTGGTATTCAAAGGAAAAGTTTGGTTTGGTAGAGGTTGCTTACATATCTAAGAATATCTAAGAGAATTAAATCAAACAGGTTATGAAAGAATGCTCCCTATTCCCCCCACTGAAATCTCAGTTACATGAATAGGGCAGCCAGTATACGCACATTTTTCTCAGCAGCACAGGTTGGCAGGAGCAGGAGAGGGCTTATGCAGCCACTCCTCATGCCCTCCTTCTGAAGTACCCAGGTGCCTGAGGCCATACGACCCAATGGTGGTCCTTCACCGGAGGACGAGATGGGAAAGGGTCCATAATTTTCTGGGCTGGAGTAGTGGATAAATGGCCATTAAATGAAGAATCCTGCTCTTGCCCAGAACAATTCAGATGACAGGTCAATGTGGATGGCTCCTTTATAGCCCCACGGATCAGCATTTGATGATTGAGCAGTTGTATGAGTTGGCAGAAGGACTTTTTTGGAAAGGTTTTGGGTAGGTAAAAAAAAGGGGAAATGCCCAGACAGGTGGCTTGCTAAGGGGACAGACTGACCATAGCTAAGGTTGAATCAGGGAAGGTGAGGACAACTGAACTCAGGTGGAGAGATGGGCTAAGCTGAAGGGAATAACACAGGATAGAATCAGTAGGAGAAGAAAGAAAAAGAAAAGGACAAAGTCACTAAAAATGACAGAACAAAAGGTTACATGCTGAACTTCATGCTTATCTGTTTGCAGTCATCCCCTTACGCTCGCCTTCCTGCGGACTTACGCGTGCCAG